GTGATGACTGCTCTGCGACAAGATAGTGGCCGCGCACAGGAACTCTGAGAGAAACACCAAATTTCTACCCACACCTTCCAATGAATAATTTTTGAAAGATTATCACTCGGTTCCGATCACTGGGAAATGGTCAGAGAGATCGTACGCAAAGGTACACATTGTGGCAAGAACCTCAGGGGAATACGAGATTGGAGGGAATAGAAAATCGCTATAGACCATATCGGGGTAACAATACATTATAGGGTCATCATAGTGGGACACTAAACGGAATGCCTCAAGACTTGAAGACGATGGTTACTGATGAGCGTTTAACGTCAACACGTAGTCGAGCCATTCGGGTATTGCACCAATAAACCCTTCTCCCGGGAGTTGGGTTATAACATGATCCAAATCACCAATAATAGGAGGAACCGTTGCACCAATTATGCCAAATAGTTCATCACGATGGTCGGAATATTTAATACTATCGGCGTTTAAGTCACCACCCTAGATCACTGGCTCGTCTTGTGGGATATTCTGTGCTGTGATGAATTGTGCTGTTTGTTGTGATTGTAATACTCTTATTGGGTCATAACCAGCATGGTCTGCCCCACTTGGTGTAAACTGAAAATGGGTGCCAAAAATGTGATAAACTTTACTTCCGGCATTGGTTGATTTCTCAATCTTGGCGTATGCCACTCCCTTTGTTAGGTATATATCCTCTGTAGGTACAGGATCGAAAGTAGTTGAACTTTCCTCCAGAATTGGCCATCTTGATGCGATGAAAACAATTGTAAGGTCGGAAATACATTTCTGGTGGGTCTCCAACAGTTGTAGTGGAGTAAATAAATCCATTTGCGGCCAAGAGAGAAACACCAAATTCATATCCACACCCACCCTTGAATACCTCTTGGAAAATTATCACATCAACTCCAGGATGTTCCTCGGGTAGACGATTAGGGATACGACACAGCCGCTCTCTCTGACCAAACTGTCCAACGGGGTATGGTATTTCGTAGACGTTGTAACTAATTACAGTAAGTTCGTTGTACTCTGTGTCACATAGTGGCACTGGTGGTGGAGGCAAATATCGAGCGTGATCGCCATCTAGAAACAGCTGACCAGGTTCCAATTCAATGGTAGTGTTACAGATAAACCCGAACACATCACACATAGCACATTCAAGACCTATAAGATACGAAAGATAATTAATATTTTTATAGAATCTGCTCGCATGCTTACTGGTCAAATTTGCTTCAACAACCTGATGTGATTTGAAAAGAAAGTCGTGCACTTCGTTTACTAAATTATTGCGTTATTTCGTTGCTCTGCGATTAGACACATATTAATACAGCTCAGTCCGTGTAAACACTGTGTGTACTAGCCTGTTACATATCAACGTTTAATAAATTATAAACAATATTTAAAAGCAAGAGTATTTCAAACTCGAACAATGCTAAGATTAGATAATAATGTTCACAGATAAACATTGTAGCAATTTAAATAACAAATTAAATAACACTCAATACTAGAACTTGAGATTTCGTATTTCCATTCCTTGATAGTAATATTGCTCTCTACCACTAGGGCATATATTTTACGACGTTTTTAAAGAGACATTTTATTCTTATTTAGATAATGAGCTTGTGGTTGAATATTATGTGACCACAATAGTTGTCCGGTGTAGCCACGTGAAAGTGGGATGTGCTAACACTTATTTATGAAACTCCATGTTTTAAAATTTTTCTTTCTATTTTGACAATATTCTATGATGTACTTGTTTCATTTTCACGATTCTTTGCCAGTCGTTCGGCATACCTGTCACGTGCCAAGTACTTGATTTCTTACCAGAATTAGTATGTGGTACTTCCACCGGCACCACTTCGTCTCTTGGATAACAAAGTTTCTTCTCTTGGAGTCCTGTCCAACAGCAGGTGCCATCACGACCGTCGCACCGAGCTGTCAAAATATCATCCATGGAGGCATCATCACAGGCTGTTCCACTCGGATGACAAAATGGTGAAGTTCCTTTCCATACCTAGTTAAGTAATGAGATAATGAATGCCAATGCGTATCGTCTATATTGATGAGGTAAATGTAATAAAGCAAAAACAATACAAAGTAAAAAACGAATTTCAAGGTAATTTCCTTAATAAAATTGTATTTTCAGATACATATACCCTGACATATGAAAAATATAAATATACAGAAAGATACTTGATTTGATCTATTATAATGAAAAATTACCGCAGTTTTTAAAAATAACAAGCTTAAATCCACAACAAAATGCTATAAAAATAGAATTACAAACGGCACCAATAAAGTCTTTTGAAATAGTTTAACAGATAATACAACCATAAGGCATTGGCAACCTGACTTGTTAGTTGTTAATTTGTATGTATTTGTATGTTTTGTTCCTTTGTAGTTTTTGCTGAAAGCATTTCGCAATTTAAAGCAATGAGTTCGTTGTATGACTCAGGTTCCAAGGAATATACTAGTATACAACATCTGTGATAAATAGTGTTTCTTTCATGAAATTCGACGCGCGCTTTGAGCACTTTATGTTACAACTAATTTGGCGGAGGATGGTGGAGGTTGAGCCGGGGACGGCAGTTCATCAATGCAATCTCAACGATGCCTACCTCGACTATGAATTTTTGAAGAAGAAATTAAACTTACCGTCAGCTTAGACATATGTCATACACATAACGAGAATGGTAATCACTTTTGTTACAACAGTGTCCATCGTGATTATTCAATCTGAAAAGCCAATACTGTTTAGTATACCCGCACCGTCAAGAGATATAAAGGCAACACTTTGCTGCAGAGTGAATTGGTCAAGTTGGGGGATGTATTTCTTTTTAGCAGAAATATCAATGAAAGTTGAGCTTTAACATATCTCTTCGATATGTTGTAAAAGTAACGGATACAATCATAATTACCTGTCAAGTACAATCTTGCACGTTTCAATGTGGGATATGTACTGATGAACTTACCTAGTGGCCACCAAAAGCGAAATGACCTATTGACGCAAACGGTTATTAATTTAATAAATATACTTTCTACATCATGCTCTTCCTTTAATAAAACGTCTCCCCAAATGAATAAATAGTCGATGAAATGTGGTTGAGCGTGATAAAATATACTATGACCCGATATCACTTGTTTGATGATTGGATAATTAACTTATGACGTCACAATTATCTACTAGCAATATGTAATTTGGCTGATTTCATTTATATCACACTAGCAACTTCAACATTTAATAAGACGGAGACATAGTTAATGAACGGCTACGACAGTTATCGGTCTTTTCGATGTCGGGATTCTAGTAAACGTCTGAGTCATGTAGACCCCAAACAGGCCGTTAACTCAGAGCCCTGTAGCCGTTTTTTAACTAAGTAATATGAAGAATTAAGCTGTAAGGTGTTTTATATTGTGGAGGGGGAGGCGTATAGTGCATATGCAATCAGTATGTAAATTAACTTCAGTTAAATGTCATGCACAAAGCAATATAACTAATTGCTGAATCTTTAATTTCAGCGTTTTCGTAGTAAAAGTTCGAAACATTATGGTGTGGCTTTTCAGATATAAACCCGCAGTTATGATTTACTAAAACCTGACTCCTATCTCGTTGTGTTTCTAATACAAACTAACAGTGTGCTTATATGAAATAAATTGCTACATATCGAGCACCGTTTCGCTCATTCTTCACATCTTTGTATAGTGTACACGAGCATGTGCTAGTTAATTTGAAAATTATATTGAAAACAGAATACATCGCATGTATTTGAGAACAGATAACAATTAAAGAATTTATACTCTCAATAAATTGAAAAAAAAAACGTGGGGTACCATATGTGTGGCGTGTTTTGAATCTCATTTTCAAGAACTAAATTACAAACATAATGACAGATGGTAGTAATTGAATAGAAGGCAATTAGCTAATATGATAATGTGCGTTTTGATTTCAAACGTTAACATATTGAACAACGTGAGGGTGCATAAAGTCCAAGATCCGAACGTTTGCATGACAGCGAAAGTCCTGGCAGGGGGTGACTAGCTTCTCGCGGTCCAAGGCAAACGACGGCTCTGGCTAAGGGAAGGGATACCCTGAAAAGAAACCTTCTTACTATGGAGGGCTAGCAACCCGTGCAGTTCAAATCACTTGTTACAGAAACAGCAAGAAAGAAACTAACTAGTACTAACGGATAGAATGGAAACAGTAGCCAAGAAATCGGCAGGATGGCCCCGCTTCTGATGAAAGCTCTGTTGGAAAAGTCATGCGTGCGACGGACAATTTTCTGAAGCCTAAACAAAAACTTCGTATCGGTACTTAGACTGTACTAAATTTGCAAGGACCATATAAAATGGATCAAGTCAATAACGAAACAGAGGGAGTCCAAACAGCACATGGAGAAGAACCATTACAACTGTACTTTACCAGTGTAATATATCTGAACTGCATCGCCTTGACAATGCGTCCAACAACAATGAGTTAGATAACACCGACTTCAGGCTGAAATTTACGTGAAGAATTGAAAAATACAATAGTTTAAACACTCGTGAAAAACAAATACAGAACGTCTGTCAATCGTTGTAGCGAAAACTGCAAAGGAACGGTTGCTGTTCCAATGTATTATACATACAAATTAACAAGCATCAAATCAGGTTGCCAATAGATGCCTTATGGTTGTATTATCTGTTAAACTATTTCAAGAGACCTTACTGGTGATTTTGTGAATATATTTATATAGCGTTTTGTTATGGATTTAAGCTGATTATATTTAGAACTGCGGGAATTTTTCATTATAATAGATCAAATTAAATATCTTTCTGTGCACTTCATTATTTATAGGTAATTATGATTCGAGATATTTTATGCATATACAGAAATTATATAAGATTATTATATATATTCATAGGATTTATATATCAACAATTATGTGTTTTACATCATCAGAAAGGCGTAACCGGCGTCTTAATCACATGACAGATTGTCCTCCCGCGAAAAGCCTTGAAAAAACATGCATATTATTAAGTTAATTGCCTAACATACTCAAGAGAAACAAATATCAAAGATAGCGGCCAAATTGAAAATGTTGTGCCTCAATACTCATTACATCTAGAAGATAAAAAACAAATTTCAGATCAATGTGTTCAGTGGTGTTAAATTGCCAGTACGTTATATTAAGGTTTGACCTCAAATTATTATTGACACTATTGAAATAATTGTAGTAGTCAGAACAAAAAGATGATTGAAGAGATACAAACGACACATCATCTAGAATGAAATCTGAAATATACCGATAATCAAGTCGGCTTAGTATATTTTGCCTTCAGGAATATTGTTTAATCATTCGATTTTTAACTCAAGTATCGATTAGACCATCTAATAAGTTTCATTTTTTTTTATAAATATCTCTTGACTGTGCACTGTTGGACTCGTGCAAAATTACTGGTTCCAACCTATCTGGAATGCATTTCTTAAGTACATACACATAATGGGAAAAAACCCTCGCTCATCACCAATGCAAGGTCATGCTCAAAAATCCCATTTGGCTGCCGGACTGAAGTGAATTGTTGAGAAACTGTCAAAATATTAACATGCGCATGCAAACATGATTTATGTGAACAGAATATTACTCTCGCCACTTAAAACAATGTTTATATGTTCCTAGATATTACAACGAACTCGGAATAAAGAAACTATCTGATCAAATAGACCTTGGAAATCAAACTTTGTTGCTCAACGTTTCCTGACGAAAAAAAAAACGTCCTGACCCAACACGACCGATTCTTTTTCAAAAGATTTACATTCTGATCGATCTTATGTGAATAAAAAAAGCAAAAATCATGAACAAGTCTAACTGATTCCACATTCACGAATGACGTAGTTGTAATTAACTATGGTATATGATGCAATGCGTGGAAGTGATCACAATTAACGTTAATCGAATAGTATATTATAACGTAGAATTCACCAGATGGTCTCAGCCACCATCAGAATATTGGCAGTAAATATTTTAGATTTAATAAAGACTAGCAATAATCATGAAACGTTATTGAACCTAAATGAACAATAATGGATTTACAGTTTTAAGTTTTTTTGTGTGACACCCAGCCATGCACAATCTAATTGCAGTAACTACCCTATAATTTTATAGTCATTTTAGTAGTGTTTGCAACAAGATTAAATACACGTCTTCAATTGAAAGCATACACAATGCTATACCATAAACGACATAGAGTATGATTTGTTTTGATGTCATTAATATGATATTCCCTTATTTGAATTTTATAGTGAGTTTTCTAGATCATTTAGGGTGAAAATCATTTATAATCAGGATTATATTGAAGTTGAATGTATATACCCCAACGATCTAAGGAATGATTTTCTTTGTTTTGTTGGGGGGGGGTGCATGTCCTGTATTTGAATTTGTATTCAATCATTTTTTTTGATAAAGCCACACTCATTTGACACTTATGTTTTAACTATTGGATGTTCAACTAGAAACATTTTATTGTTACTTTTAATAATTTCTTTAAATTAAATAAATAATGTTTTTTGAATAAAAGTAGAGTTGCGCTTTTTTCTTAGATTCATGACATACACATGCTAACATAGACCAGGTAAATATAAACATAGTATTGAAATCAACATGCATGTCTATGTGTACGTGGCCATCTGGTGAAACAAAATATTAACAAGATAACAGATAACAGCAAACTTTATCACAGATACATATTGCACCATTAATAAAATAACGATTTGAGTACAAATACATTATTAGGTAGTTGTTAAATAGAAGCAATTAAAGCGTATAACGGACGCGTTCTGATGATATCAAAATGGTTTTATTTTAGACATATTATCACCTAAAGGTCGTAAAAAGTAGTCATGCCAGTGGGAATTGTGTTTGTGGGTGCGACATTCTATTCAAACAGCAATATATAACCTGTCTGTGAAATCACAATCGCGCTAAGCAGTACAATATTCAAATATTCTTGGGTTCTTATTATAAAATGAACATTTGAACATCACATTCCTGTTCAAAAATAGCATACAACATGTTTTCAATAATGAGGAATAAACGGAATGGTGTAAGAATGTACTGATGATATAAATGTGAGTATCATCTGTCGATTTGAAGCCACCAATACGTCAGCTCCGTCAATATTCAATGATATATATTTCACATGGTATATAGGCAAAATAACTGACCAGTTATTTGTTAAGAACTGTACATATATATTGATATATTAACTAATTCAGATCGCTGTTAACTTACATGTCATTTCCTGTCAAGGATAATTGAACTCACCATTCGCATCCTAATTATATGTTTCTCAAAACAACGTTGAAATACCATTCGATTTTTGATTTGATATGTGTTTGTCATCATTTTTGAAAAAAAAAACTTTGCCTATAGGTTGTGCAAACAAACTATATTTCATGTTTAAAACATTTTCCGTCAGTTTTGGTAAGACTCATACTCGGCCAACATGTTCGTGATCGTGGTGAAAGTAAAGCAGTCGGACTGTGACTAGGTGTTGGGTTTTCAAAAATATAAATGCAAATAATGCTAATAAACCAGCCTCGGGTGCCATAAGCCAAGCATTTACAAATGATATTGAGCTGATGCAGAGAAGTCGTTTAAACATGTATAACAATGAGCGAATTATTTAATCACCTCGCTCACGTAGATGTGTGGGACAATGTTGCTTGAATTCACAATTGTTTTTGGTTCGTTAGTCGTATATCATTTAAAAATATTAAACATGTATTACTAACGTTATTAATTAATTGTTTGAGACTCAATATACAAGCGACGTCACATGTGTTTGAATGTTATTCCATCTGGTTCATAACAATAATTTGATAGGATGAGGAGTATGATATATTAAGGAAAATCAGCATATTGATAACAATAATAAAATTGATTCTGTTAATGATGGACTATCGGGAGTTACACCCGTGTCGCTAGCACGCCTTCTACAATCTGCCAAGGTGTGTAAACACGAAAGAGATCGTCCTTTTAATGTATAAATGGTAACATAATAGCCCGTTAAAATATTGTCGAATGTAATGAGTTCTACTCATTCCAACATTCACAACTAAGTCTTGTATATATCGAAGATTTATTAATCATTCCCTTGTATATTAGTTTGTAATTTTTCTTGACGCGCTTTGGGTCGTATAGTGACTCACTCCGCTTGTGGTCACGTGAATTTTTGTTCAAGCATTAGTCTTATTTTCGTGAACCGACATTGTGTTAACTACCAGTTACAATATATGGTTCTTTATCAATACTCACCAAAGGTTCTAACTGAGAACTCCGACCACACGACCTCTAACGTCGTAGCTACTACGGATTCCGATGGACGTTCTATTTTTATGTTTATGTGAATTTACCTGTTTGTTTGTTTAGCGCTATGTACGGAAACTGATTTCTGAATATTTGAATTTTATTGTTTCGTATAGGTCTGGAAACATTCACCCGAAAGTGTGAAAGAACATTTTACTCGACTCCGAACAAAACTGTTATACCTGTTAACACGTACTGTCTCGGTGTTTCCAATGCACATTATACAAATCATTCTTTGATAAAAAGGTAAGTTAGTCTTCATATAGACACCAACCACGAATTGCATCTGCAATGTAAATCATAATGCAGATACGTTCAATATATTTAATCCTAAGGAGTTTGCATGGAAGTCTTCTTTGCCACCTGATGTCACCATTATTACTGAAAACGGAGGAGGCGAAGGATTGACTTTCGCAGTAAGGCAAATGTGTCTATGTTGGAATTTACTTGAAGACAATTATACGTAATGTTATATATCGTAGGCGACATGGTCCAATACATAATACAAAATCATTGCTATCACATTATCACTAGTTCAGAGGACATATACAATATGCATTTTATTATTATATTTATTATTATTTTCTATATTGAGTACATACAACATGCAGCTCAGTCAGATTTACATTTAACAGTTTGTCCTAGTTACACGCATAGAAAAATGAGTCATGTATATGTTAAGTAGATATAATTGAAAGATGAAGATTCCTACCACTAAAAGTGATAAGATGGATCGTGCACAAAAACTGTTTAGATATTATGAATTTAGGGAATATGAAGTAGGTCATAGAATCATAATAGTGGGACACTAAGCAAAATGAATCAAAACGTGAAGTAGAAGACTGCTGACGATTTTCTTGAAGTTAGGGCGTCAATCCACTCACGTACGTACATGTTATATAGATAACACTGCAATACGTATGTGTTTAATTATGGAATTTGAAGGTTCCTATTACAGGAAAATGGTCAGATAAATCGATAGCAGACGTACAATTTTCGGGCTGTGTGATTAGAGGGAATATGAAATCAGTATAGACCGTATCGGGGTAACAATACAGTATACGGTCATAATCGTGGATTGCTAATCGAAATGATTTAAGATTTGAAAAAGATGGCTGCAGATGGTCTTTTAATTCACTTTCGTCACCCACAGATATCCCAGGAATGAAATCAGAATCATATGTGGTATACGAATTACCGATAATATTAGGCATCGTGGCACCAAGTATTTCGAATATTTCATCACGATGTTCATGATACATATTATTATAAGTATCAGCGTTGAAATCACCACCTACAATTACTGGCTCGGTTTTAGGGATATTCTGCCCGGCAATAAACTGTGCCATCTCCTGTGCTTGCGATACTCTCATTGCATCAAACATTGTGTGATCTTCTCCTAAGGGTGTATACTGCAAATGAGTATCGAATATGTGATACACTTTCTTTCTGCCCTGGAATGATTTTTCAATTTTAGCGTATGCTACTCCCTTCGCTAGATATATATCATCGGAAGGCCCAACAGGGGAAAAACTGTCGAGTTTTCAGAAAGGATTTGCCATTTTGATGCGATGAAAATACCACCATTGTAGGGTCGTAAATACAAGTCTGGTGGGTCCCCAACAGTTTCAGTAGTGTACAGAAAACCGTTTGCGGCCAATAGATCCCCGAGAGAAACGCCAAATTCGTACCCACAACCACCTAGAAACACTTCTTGGAATATTATCACATCGACTTCCAGATGTTCTTCGAATAGACGATTAGGGATACGACACACGCGTTCTCTCTGGCCAAACTGTCCAACGGGATATGGTATTTCGTAGACGTTGTAACTAATTACACTAAGGTGATGGGAATGTGTGTCTTGCAGTGGAACTGGTGGTGGAGGCAAACATCGAGCGAGATCGCCATCTAGAAACAGCTGATCAGGTTCCAATTCAGTGGTAGTGCTACAGACAAACCGAAACACACTAGACATGGCGCATCCAAAACCTACAAGATAAAAAAGTATTGTTTACATTAAGCCATGTTTAACAATTGCTCTATCTATTAATCAGATAATCCGCAAGCCAATCACTTAATAGGTATAAACTGAAACAATTGCAAGCTATAGCTATTCAAATCTTAAATAATATAATACTCGGTAAAATGATAACATTTTACGTCATGAATACAAAGCTTTTTCGGGGCAACGACCTTCAAATATGTTTCATATACGTTAGGCGTAACGACTGTACAATAATATATGTTAAAAAACACTAGTATAGGAGTCTTTGCCTGTGTTAATAAGCGGTACATCTACTGGGTCCTCCCCATCTCTCGAATAACAAAGTCTTTTCTCTGGAAGTCCTGTCCAACAGCATGTGCCATTTCGACCGTCGCATCGAGCTGTCAACACTTCATCCATGGAGGCATCATCACAGGCTGTTGCACTCGGATAACAAAATGGTGCAGTTCCTTTCCATACCTAATAAAATAATTCAATGCACAACCTTATCTTGCATCACTCTACATTGAACAATACTATATAAAGGATTAATGTAATTTACACATACAATAATACTTAATAGCATTGTGTTTGTTGGTCGGTTAACAAAGTTTATTTGCACCGCATAACGACACAAGTCACTGTATTATATGTGGTAACTCTGGTTGCTACAAGTACAAAATGCCAAGTGGTACAGACCACCAAATACTTCACATTGGGCGAGACGACTTTATAGGTACAAATACACTTTGATTCATTGGCATCATTCAGATTCTGATTGTGCAATCAGTACATGTATATACTACATTGTAAGGTCAAATACACAATACATTAATACTATTAAACGAATATAATGTATTAATCCATCTGGGCACAAGAGGTATCAAAGTACCATGTCTGTAACCCAATGTGCACGATGATGCCAAGTTATTGGGTTGGTATCCACTATATTTCATTCTTAATATTAATATCGTTTCTATTAGATGCTGGAGATCTATGCCGGACAAACAATATTGACCACAATCTAAAGCTTACTCTGTAAACTCTGTAAAAGCACGTGATATGTGCCTGAAAACATGAGTTTCAAGGCTAGTCGTTCCCGGGAAAACCAAAAGTTTGATAGGTTGGACGAAACTAACAAATATTTCTTTACTAATAATCCTTTTCTCAAGGATGGTTTTGAACAGTGGCATTAAGTGGTGCTGACAAAGAAATATTTAGACATTGATTGTAAACAAGAATGAGAACTTTTTCAACATCAAGAATGCAAGTCATACAAGCTTTTGCCAAAAGGCATGAAGAGACTGAAGCTTTTCAGGAAATGTCAAAAAATACTTGTCTATAACCGTGAATAGTTCTATTGAATAGTGAATAGTTTTTAAATGGTTAAAACAACAGTCATCCGGGCATTACACACAGCGCTAAATCAGAGACCATGTATTAAACTGGTCCCAACTACGTCACCAACTGTTTTAGTCAATCACTCGGTCAATTGGTCAGACTGTGTGATTTTGATTTGCATT